ATTCCATTACATTCATATACCACAACTTGTTCAGCCATTTCCCAATTGATGGGCATCCCCTCAGTTTCTAATTCTTTGCCACCATGGAAAGAGCTGCTATAAATATTTTGTACATGTGGGTCCTTTTCCCATTTTTATGATCTCTTTGGGATGCAGCCCTAGAAGTGGTATTGCTGGGTCAAAGGGTATGCACATTTTTATAGCCCTTTGGACATAGTTCCAAATTGCTCTTCAAAATGGTTGGATCAGTTCACAACTCCAGTAACAATGGATTAATGTTTCAATTTTCCCACATTTATCATTTTTCTGTTTTGTCATGTTAGCCAGTCTGATAGGTATGATGTGGTACCTCAAGAGTCGTTTTGATTTGCATTTCTCTAATCAATAGTGATTTAGAGCATTTTTTCATATGACTATATATAACTTTAATTTCTTTCTCTGAAAACTACCTATTCATATCCTTTGACCATTTATCAATTGGGGAATGACTTGTAGTCTTATAAATTTGACATACTTCTCTATATATTTTACAAATGAGGCCCTTATCAGAGACACTGGTTGTAAAAATTCTTTCCCAGGTTTCTGCTTCCCTCCTAATCTTGGTTGCATTGGCTTAGTATGTACAAAAACTTTTCAATTTAATGTAATCAAAATTATCCATTTTGCATTTCATAATGTTCTCTAAGTCTTGTTTGGTCATAAACTCTGTTCTCTCATGGACCCTTCTTAATGTAGGCTATTGTGTCTTTTCCTTGTAGAACCACAGAATTTCAGTCAAAGGGACCCCAGCAACCACCCCTCCGCCCCTAAACACTCCCTTTAACAATGTACTGAACAAGTCTTTGTTTGATGGTCGCTAGCTAAGGGAAACCTGCCTCATCATTCCACTTTTGCCCAGCTCTGACTGCTGGCAGGCCAACCCTTGCGTCAAGCCCATATCTGTCCCTGCCTAGCTTCCAGCAGCTCTGTTTCTCATTCTGTCCTCTAGGGCTAAGCAGAAAAATCTTTCCTTAGATTAGGAGTTCTTAACCTAGAATCTGATAGATTTTAAGATAGGGGTCCGTGAACTTGGATGGGAAAAAAATGACATTTTTCTTTTCACTAACCTCTAACTGAAATTTACCATTTCCACTAATTATTTAAAAAACATTCTTTTGAAAAGGTTTAGTAGACTTCACCAGACTGTGAAAGGGGTTCACGATAACAAAAAGGTTAAGAATACCTAGCTTAGATGCAGAACATTTCCAGAAGTTTTGAAGCCATAGAAAACATGTTTGTGTTTTTTTCCCCTTGGGGAGAAAATAAAAGGTCATTTTAGCAAAATTTTGAAATAAATATGACATTTAAACAAAATCATCCTGTTTGGTTCTCTGTTAGCTCAGGGGCAGAAATTGGATTCTGAAAAGTGTAAATGACTCATAAAATGACATTGTGTGTTCAGTGGAGTTAACTTCAAAGCATAGTTTGTTTGGGTGGTGGTGACAAATATGCTGATTGAATTTACTTTGGAATATTTTAATTTTTTGGGGGGGGGTTGGCAATGTAGCTGCTGTAGACAGATTTATTGAATACACTGAGCATCTCTTAGTTTCTGTAATTTTAGAAGAAGCAGGTAACATGGGAGTGGAAAAAACCATCATTGTGGTAGTTCACTGGGGGAAGATACCTCTGTTTTCCAGGCATAATTTCCACCATGATGGGGGCAGGTATGTGGTACAGTGGAGAGAGTGCCAGATGGGAGTCAGAGAGACTCATTTTCCTGAGCCTCAGACACTTACTTGCTATATGACCCTGGGCAAGTCACTCAACCTTGTCTGTTTCAGTTTCCTCATCTGTAAAATGAGTAGAGAAAGAAATGGCAAACCACTCCAGCATCTTTGCCACAAAAACCCCAAATGGTTTCACAAAGAGTCAGACATGATTGAAACAATTGAACAACAATAATCTGGCAAGCCGCTACCTAAAAGGCACTTAACAAGAAAAGAAATATCAATTAGGCAATTTGGCTCAAATCACTAGACATTTATTAATCACCTGCTTTGTGCCAGGCACTCAGAGTTTCTATGGGGATACAAAGGCACAAATGACACAGACTTTGTCCTCAAGGAGTTTACATTCTACAGGGGGAGGGTATACCTCCCAGGTAGACAGATAAATAAATAAATACAAAATATAGAATTATTTGAGAAAGAAGGGCAAATACCAAGAAATTGCTGGGATAAGTGGTATCTGAGCTGAATATTTTTGTTTTGTTTTGTTTTATGAGGCAATTGGGGTTAAGTGACTTGCCTAAGGTCACACAGCTAGTAAGTGTCAAGTGTCTGAGGCAGAATTTGAACTCAGGTCCTCCTGACTCCAAGGCTGGAGCTCTGTCCACTGTGCCACCTAGCTGCCCCGATCCGAGCTGAATATTGAAGGGAAGGTAGAGATTCTAGGAAGCAGAGGTGAGGAAAGTGGGCATGCCAGGAATAGTGGACTTCTGTACAAAGGCCCGGTGGTGGGGGATGTTGTCATGTATAGAGAATAGAAGTAGACAAATTTAGCTGGAATAGGGAGTGCATGAAAGGGAGTAATAGAAAATAAAAAGCAAGTACTTCCCACGAAAGTCTTTGGCATTGGTTTAGCAGCAGAAATGGTTATGATATTTTTTAATCAATAGTTGTGGTACTAAAAAAGATACCTTACCAACTGCTTTGCTACTGAATCCTAAAGACCATAGGACTTTTCCATTTCACCTGTAGCAGAAATCATCCATATGTGTTATCTTCCTCATCAGAATGTGAGCTACTTGAGAGAAGGGACTATCTCTGCTTTTCTTTTTTTTCCCCCCTATTCTTTTTTAAAATTTTTTTCTTGTATTTTTTCCCCTTTTTTATTGTTAATTTATTTATTTTTAGTTTTCAACATTTCACTTCCACAAGATTTTGAATTCCAAATTTTACCCCATCTCATCCCTCCTCAAACCCCAAGATGGCATGCATTCTGAATACCCCTAATCTGCCCTCCCTTCCATCTCTCCCCCCTTCTCTTATCCCCTTCTTCAATTTTCCTGTAGGGCAGGATAGATTTCTATACCCCATTTCCTGTATATCTTATTTCCCAGTTGCATGCGAAAACATTTTTTTTTAACTTTTGTTTTTAAAATTTTGGGTTCTATTTGTATCCACTTAGCACATTCATAGATCATAATTGAGGCTTCCAGAGGTAAAGTGACCTATCCAGGTAGGCAAGCAGTGGCTTGCTTGAGATTCAGTCCCAGGTCAGTAATAAAGTCAATCAGTAAACATCTATTAAGTGCCTACTATGTTCCAGGCACTGTGCTAAGAGCTGATCTCTCCTGACTCTAAACAGATGATCTTTCAGCTACATATTGTTTAACTATAGACTGTTGGAGTTAGAAAGAGCCAGAGAGGTCAGCTACCCCATCCCCTCTTCCATTTTACAGATGAGGAAACTGAGCTTGTCTGAGATGTGATGGTCAGCAACTTTATTTTCATCAACTTCTCAGACTTGAGGAAACTGAATATTGGCCAGAATGGCAAGCCAGCTTTTCTCCCATTTCATATGTTAATAACAGCTGATATTTATGGAGCATTATGTCATTTGAGCTTCACAACAATATTTTGGAGTAGATGTTACAGGTATCGGCATTCCTGTTCTACAGGGAAGGATACTGGTACAGAGGTTAAAGGTTTTGGTCATGTTCACATGGTAAGGAAGTATCAAAGACAGCACTTGAACCCAGGCCCTTCAAAATCTAGAACTAGCACCCTCTCCCTTATGCCATCTTGGTTTCTTGGTTTAAGAAACACTTTGAAAGAGCTGTTTTTTTTTTTCTGTACCCATAGAGAATGAAGGGTGCTGAGTACAAGCTGAGTCAGAGGTTATGGGGATTACAGGCTGCCATATTATAGGATGGTTGTCTCTGGCAGAATCCCTAGCTACAGGCTTGGACCAGACCCTGAAATGGTCTCCTTGGTGCCTAAGAGAATGTTAGTTACTGTTGGAAAGCCCCCATTCCTAGCCTGATGACCTGACATGGGCTGCTGGTCTTGTCCTCTGCTCACGGGGACCTGGAAAGGTGGCAGGGAGAGGAGATTGTGAAGGCTTTGAATGGCTGAGGTTGAAGAGCTTGCAACGGCATCATAAGTGAATTTTTATTTGATCCTTGATGTACTTGGAAGCCACTGGAGTTTGGATAGGACAGTGACATGGTCAGATATGTGCTTTAGGAAAATCACTTTGGCAGCTGATTAGAGGATGGACTGGAAAGGAGATAGAGGGGGATCAGTAAGGAGGCTATTGCAATAGTCCAGCTGAGGAGCAATGGTTCCCTAAACCAAGATGGAGGCCTTGGTTGTGGAGTTTGGAGTGGAGAGAAGGGTGGATGAGAGATGTGGAGATAGGAATGCTGGGTCTTGTGATGCCAACCCAGCTCCCTTTCCATGGCGCCAGATGGACTGCATGAAATATCTTTACCATTTTTTACTTTAGTTTAATAATTTTATCGTTCTTAAAATTAAAAAAAATTCATATTCTAACAAGTTCACTTTTCAAGGGGGAAAAATGGACACAGGAAATGAGGGGAAATATCCCACAACTTCTCCCCCGCAGCCCCCAACCATCGGTTTTTCGTCACCCACCCGTCACCCTGTTGGGCCTTCACCCTTCTGTTTCAGCTGCTGTTTTCTGGAGAAAGTAGGCGTGGAGGGGGGGTGGTACAGAGTTCTCTGTCTGCTTCCACAGACAGGCAGCTGCTTCTGGGAAGGGGCCAACTTAGCTACCAGCTGCCCTTGCCACTCAGCTACCGTTGGGCAGCCAGAGAGAGGGGAAGCTCATCCTTTGGTCTCTGGTCACCCACCCTTTTTTTGTGGGGTTGTGACTCTGGAGCTGGGGGTGGCAGTCAGAAGGGCATCCCCTCCACGCCCCGAGGCTGCCCGGGAGACGCGTCCGGCCACACACAGACCCTCTCTCTCTCCTCTCTTCTTGCCCTCCCCCAGAAGATCTCCGGGGAGCTCACGCTGGATGCTCTGCTGGAGATGAACGAGACGAAGGTGAAGGAGACCATGAGGCACTGTGGCGCCAGCGCCGATGAGGTCAGCCGCGTACATTACGCCCTCTCCTGCTTCCGGAAGGTGACCGGCTTAGGTAGGGTTTCCTTTGCCTTTCCGAGGTGGTCCTGTAACTCCCGCTCTCCCCAGCCACCTCCCCCCTTCTGTGACTCCTGGAGGAGAATGGGCCCAGGACGGGCAAGCTTGGGGCTCTCTTAAAGGGTCAGAGCCCGCTCCCTGCCGCCCCACGGCGAGGACGAGGGTGGCAGAGACGATGAGATCTGACTCAGCGTCTCACTTGTCTTTGGATTGGAAACCACCGGGGACTTTTTTTCCTGGGGCGGGGGTGGGGGAAGAGGTAGGTGTGGGGCAGGGTGGGCGGAGGGGGTAAACAGGCCAAGTTCCAGTTCAGAGAGCGTTCTAGCTGGGAAGTTTGGGGTCCTGTTGTCTTTGAAGGCTTGAGCTTATGCTTTATCATAGGACTGTAACCTCAGAGGTCATCTGGTCCTACTCCTTCATTTTACAGATGAGGAAACTGAGGCCAGGGAGGGGGAGTGACTTGCCCAACTTCACAGCAGGTAGTCAGTGGCAGAACCAGGATTTGAACTCAGGTCCTCTGACTCCAAGTCATGTCCGTCCATCTGTCTCCCTGTCTCCCTGTCTGTCTGTCTGTCTGTCTTCCTGTCTATCTCTTTACTTACTTAACCTGAACTAATCTTTCGTAGACTCTATGAATGATTTTTTTCACCTCTGGAGATCATCTGTGCTGACCTTTAATACCTAGACCAAGGAACTTCTCCCCTGGTCCACCGGCTGTGTGCTCAGGAAACTCATGCCCCCATTTTACAGATAAGGAAGCTGAGGCTCAGCAACGTGAATTACCTTGTTCTAGGGTCACCTGGGGAGACAGTGCTACAGTGGAAAGCGGTCTGGATTTAGAGTCACAGGGCCCGAGTTCGAATCCTGACTTTGTCATGTACAACTTATGTGATCCTAGGCAAGGCACTTTCCTCTGTCTGGGTTTCCTCCTCTGTAAAATGAGGGGGTTGGATGAAATAATCTCTAAGGCCCCCCCCCCCAGCTCTAGATTTATCTAGATTCCAGCCGGGACTAGGACCCAGACCTCCTGCTCCTGGTTCAGTGCCTTTTAGACCCTCTTCTTGCCCAAATTTCCACATGGCGGAGGATGAGAGGCATCCCCTGCCTGTGGGCTGAGGAACTGAAGAGTATCAGAAAACCCTGGTCTTTCCAGCTTAGGATTCCCTCTCTGACCAGGGGTGCGTCATGGGAGAGATTGCAGGCAGCTCTCCGCCACCCTGACCTGCAACGCTACGTAAGGTTGGGTTGGCATGCCTGGCTTTTTCTGGTACACACATATTCACAGGATAGAAATAAGGGTGTTTTAGACTTGGCAAGGATCTTGGAAACCATTTGGTCCAAACCTCTCGTTCTACAAAAAATGAAACTGAGGCCCAGAGAGTGGAAGTGACTTGTCTAAGGTCATGTCGCTAGTGAACGGGAGGGCTGGAAGTCAAAGCCAGGCTTTCTGGCTCCAAGTCCAGGGAGCTTTCTCCTGAGCCACGCTGTTCTCCCCGCCCAGAGAAGTTGGTATACATCTTATCTGTTAAAATATACCAAGCTGTGGATAGGAGGACACCACAAGGCCGCCAAATCAAGCCTGCCTTTTGAGATTTGAGTCTCTTAATGGTGTATTTTGGCAGCCTAGGTTTTCTCAAACACCCCCAGATTCCCTTGACTAACCCTCTTACAGATCTGTCTCGGGGGTTCGCTTCCCCGCCCCCCCCCATCCCCTCCCAAGCTGTGCTCAGCAGTCTGATTAGAGTGATGTAGTGGGGAGAGGCCTGGCTTCTAGTCCTGGTTCCAGTTTGCCTTGGATTTCCCGTGTGAGCCTGGCCGAGCTTCTACCCCTCCCTGGGCCTCAGCCTCCTCCTTGGTCAGATGACAGGGCTGGAGTGGATGGTAGCTGAGATGCCTTCCGACTCTGACATTCTATGGGTCTGTGATCTGACCCCATGGGCCCACAGGTGGGGAACCAAAGGACGAGCCCGCGTGGAGCCCGCTGGATGCCCGGCGCGAGAGTGGCTCGGGACCTCCCACGGATACCCTTTCCCCAGCTGGCTTGACCTGGACTCCTGGGGCCTCCCAGCTCAGTAAAGGCAGCGGCAGCAGCCAGCAGGCCCGCTCCGTCTCGGTGTCCGCCCTGCCCACGTCGGATGCTCTGTCCCAGGGCCAGGGCCTGTCCGCCTACGGCGAGGGCCTCTCGGACAGTTACATCTCCCTGCATCACAGCGGGAGGCTCACCCCTCGGACCCCACACAGCTTCATCACCCCCCCGACCACACCGCAGCTGCGACGACAGAACAAACTCAAGCCCCCCCCGGACGCCGCCCCCACCCAGCCGCAAAGTTTTCCAATTACTTCCCAACTTCCCAACCCTTACCAGGAGCAAATCCCATGAGTCCCAGCTTGGAAACAGAATCGACGAGGTGCCCTCCATCAGGTAAGTGTCTCTGGGGAGGGTGGGGGGTTTGCAGGTGGGGGCCTGAGGGCTAGCTGTGGGACCCTGGGCAAATGACTTAACCTCTCTGAGCTCAGTTTTCTTATCTTGAAAGTGGGAATAATAATGTATGCATTACCCATGCTACAGGGGAGTGAGAATGAAGTGATGTGAGGGTCACAAAGTGCCTTGTGCACACATCTTATAGCCTGTCATTGTTATTATCATTGGCTCCCTGTATTTGCCTCTTGCCTTCTTGAGATTCTTGGGAGTTTAGTTAAGAGGATTGATGGGTATTGGCTGAGATCAGGGGTCAAGTTTGGAGTCAGTCGAAGGGCCACAGTCGAGGACCTAGAGGTTCCCCACCCCTGGCTTAGATGTCCCTTCTAAATCAGAGCCCCAAGCCTTTCTGTACCCAGATTTCCCAATCTGTAGAATGGGGTTGTTCCCCAGGTCACTAAGTGGATGGAGAGCCTTGGTTTGTGGTCTTGGGTTCTTGTCAGCAGAGATCTGGATAATATTCCTTCTTCTACTAACAAGAGCTCACATGTATATAGCGAAGCTCCTTACAAATCTCTCATAAAGTTCTCACAACAACCCTGGGAGGTAAGGGCTGTTATTGTCGCCATTTATAGATGAGGAAATGGAGGCAGACAGAGAGAGGATAAGTGACTTGCCCAGGGTCACACATCTTGTACGTGTCTGAGGCTGGATTTGAGCTCAGGTCTTCCTGAGCCACAGTCCAGTGCTTTATCCATTCACTAAGCTGCCTTATTAGGATGTCAAAGCCAGATCATTTTTGAATATCTCTCCAGAAAGGGGGTGAGTGGGTTGGAATTCCTATCCAGTCAGCAAACATGGGCTTTTCTCCTCCTCGTCCCTGGAGGACGATAGTTGCTTCTAGGCCCCACTGATCTTTGGCCAGAAAGGAGATTCCTGAGAGCTTGTTAGCCCCCCTCCTTCGCAAGGTTCTCCCCCAGTGCTCACCCTTTTGCTCATCAGATGCATCAGGGCTAGCCTCTCATACTAGTGGGTGACACCAAGGGTCCCCACTCCCGGGGAGGGTACTTTCCCACTGGGTCTTGAGTTCAGGTAGAGGAGTAAACTTTCACAATAGGGCCATTCCTTTCTGACTTTCTCTACTCCTCTCCCTCAATTGCGTATAAAATTTAGCAGACATTTGTTAAATACTTACTGTGTGTGGAGCACTGTGCTAGAAGGTACACAAGATGCAAAGTAGAGATTAGAGAGGGCCCCTGCCCTCTTACAGCTAATACAGTCTGGGGTGGACCATGGGGTGGTAAATGATGGTTACAAGTGAATGCTCAAAGACCTGTGTTTTCAGCAGCCTGAGGTTTTGCCAGTGTGGGATCTCCCTCCCCCAGTACAAGTCACCACCTTTCTTTGACCAAATAGATGAGTCCTAGGAAGTTGCCTGATATATATAGAAATTTGGGATGTATATTGACATATACAGTAGTACAGAATGGTATGTAAATACCTGAATCAGTTTGCCCCAATTTTTCTTCCTCTTTCCTCTAGAGAAGGGGGTCAGGGGTCCATTTGGGCCAGCCTTGCTGCCGTGGGATCAGGGGGACACATCGATGTCTTGTGTCCTTTCACATTTGACATCCAAAGCTGGCAGGGGACTGGGACTCAAATGTTAAAGCCCGTTTTCTGCAGTGAGATAGACTGAGGTACAGAAGAGAACCATAATCAAAGGCCAGGAGAAGCAGCGGTTCAGGGTGTTGGGGGCCGTGACCGCCAGGAGTGTCATATACCATAAAGTGGCGTGAATGTTGGAGCTGGAAGAAATCTCAGATCATTTAGCAACATCCTGTCTTTCTGCAGATGGTGAAACCAGGGTCTCATGAAGGGACAGTGCCCTGCTCCACATGAGAATAAAGCTAGCTCCGCGTGTTAGCGTGGCCCTTGGCTCGGCTTCTCCTGGCCTTTGGTTATGGTTCTTTTCTGTACCTCAGTCTACCCCACTGTAGAAAATGGGCTTTGACATTTGAGTCCCAAACTCCTGCTGGCCCGGGGTGTCAAATAAGAAAGGCTTTACAGCTTACTGAACACTTTCTGTTTAAAAAAAAATTGTTTCTTCTTCTGATATGAACAAACACCAAACAAAATGAATGTTTTCATATTTGTGGTTTATATCTGACTCTTCGTGACCCTGTGGTCCATAGCACACCGGTACTGTTCATGGGATTTTCATGGCAAAGATACTGCAGTGGTTTGCCATTTCCTTCTCCAGATCATTTTACAGATGAGGAAACTGAGGCAAGACTTGCCCAGGGTCACACAGCTACTCAAGGCTGAGGCCAGATTTGAACTTCAGTCTTCCTAACTCCAGGCCTAGCTGTCTATCCACTGAGCCACCTAGCTGCCTATATTTTCACATACACGGGGGGAACAGAAAGGGAAGATAGTTCATGAAACTGTGACTCTCCATTACATAGGTAGAACTTGCTTTTTTTTTTCTTGCGAGGCACTTGGGGTTAAGTGACTTGCCCAGGGTCACATAGCTAGTGAGTGTCAAATGATCAAGTGTCTGAGGCCGGATTTGAACTCAGCTCCTCCTGACTCCAGAGCCAGTGCTCTATCCACTGCACCACCTTGCTACCCTCTAGAGCTTGCTTTACACAGCTCTATTGACATAACTCTGGGTGGATTGATAATGCAAATATTAATGATTTTCATTATTAATGAGACCTAGGCTCAGAGAGGCAATGAGCTGCCCACAATCACACAGTGTTTGGGACAGCGTGCATGCTTTTTAAAATGCTTTCTCTTTTATCAATCAGCAAATATATTTTGAATACAAGCTGCTATGGGGGGGATACAAAGAAGTTAGAGCCATGATCCCTGTTATCAGTGATCTTGGGGAGCCAAGACAAGGTCCGTGTTCAGCAAACAATCAATCAATCAACACGTCTTATTAGGTATTTGTTGTCCAGGCGCTGTCCCAGGTGCTGGGGATACAAATTAACCAAGAAAGGAACAAACATTTATTTTTAGCATCTGTTGTTTGCCAGGGCCTGGGTATAGAGATCAATCAATCAACAAATGCTTATTAAGTGCTTACTGTGTGCCTGGTATTGTGGTACACACTGGTGGGAGTGTATGCTGTACTGAGGGAGACCACATGTGCCTAGAAATGTGTATGTAGAGTAATGGCGTACAAATAAATACATCCAAGGGCTGCTGCCTTGTTTAAGTGTGATATAAAGGGTACGATGGTCTAGGAGCTGAAAAGAGGAAGAGATCCCTCTGGGCTGGTATAGGCTGGGAGGACTTCCTAGAGGAGGTGACATTTAATTAAGCCAGACCTTGAAAGAAGAACAGGGATTATAAGAGGCAACAATGGATGACCTTGTAGGACCTTCCCATTCAAATCTCTTCTTTAAAACTGAGCCAGAAGCTGGCAGACCTTGCCCAAGGCGATATGGCCAGGCTGGCTTCCAGCTCTAGCCTAGAACCTCTCCAGAGGTGGAATTTTCTAGAAACCAGCTGTCTCCCTTCTGAAGTTTGCCTCGCCTTGTGACCCTGAGCCAAAGTGCTTACGCATTCTCTCTTTCTCTTTTCTCCTCTAGGTTCGGTAAGAGAGTTCACTTTGCCCATGATGAGTGCATATGTTTCCTCGGGGGCAGGACAACATCGTCCTCTCCCACACTGGGGCTGCCCTGCTGGGCCCCTCCTTCCTTCATCCTTCTTTGGAGCCTGGAAACAATGATGTGGCCAGATGTGTTTTGAAATAGCTGGGGGCTCTGAAACGAGTGGAATTCGGCTGCGGCGACATCTCGGAGAGGGCTTGTGGGCCCCAGGGAGCCCACAGCCGGTGTGATGTGTGCTCTGTGTTTGCTGTGGTCCCTCGAGTGCACACATGTGTCTTCTCTGAAATTCGGATTCTTTCTTTATTTGCCATGAAGCCGCTGGGTTTTGGAGGAGGGGAGGGGCTGGCTGGAAGCTTACAGAGCTGTTGGGTACCTTTGGGATGCTACTGATTATGTACAGGTAGACGAGGGCATCTTGCTGGGGAGACCATCCTCAGTCTTCTAACACTCTCAGCTGCTCCGCCCTCCCTTGCCAGGTGATTTTTGCCTTTATCCCAGAGCTGGCTTCTTGGACCTCCTCCCTTTTCCTGAAAGGGAAGCTTCTCACAGGCACAAAAGCCATGCTTTACCCAGCCATCCAAGAGCCAGTTCAATTGACTAAGGCATTAACTAAGAATGTACCATGTGCTTAGCCTAGTTCTCTCTGTTATTATTCAAAACCAGACCAGCTTCCTCAAGCAGGGTGTGATGGGAAGTATTCTGGACCCAGAGTCAGGAAAGACCCAGCTTTGAATTCGAATGCTACTAGCCCAGACCCTTTTCCTAGCCATGTGACTGACCATGGGCAAATCACTTAGCCCCTCTTGGCCTCCATTTCCATGTCTTTGGAATGGAGATAATAACAATGCCACGGCCCTTCCTTCCCAGGGTTTCGGGGAGGTGGCAGGATATTTTAAGATTAAAAATGCTAGAGGTAGATCATGGGATCCTAGTTTTGGAGCTAGCAGGGAACTCAGAGGTTGTCTGCTTCAACCCCCTCATTTTGCAAAGAGGGAAACTGAGGCATGGGGAAGTAACTTGCCCAAGGTCACACAAAAAGTAAGCATCAGGTGGGATTTGAAACATGCCCTCTGGAGTATTCTTTGCAAATGTCAAAAGCAGCTATAGAAATGGCATTATTACTGTTATTATTATTATTATTATTATTATTAATATAATCCAGCCACCCCTAATTTGCCTTAATAACCTGTTATCAATAGGTCTTTAAAACAAAACCACTAGCATCTATAGCCTTCCTCTTAAGAAGTCTAGTGCAGAAGCAATCAGCCACCATGGCCTTTTCCTTGCCAACCTAAGGTTTATGGATTTTAGCAGTTGAGTGGGGAGACAGAAAGGTTTGGGAGTATGTATGTATCTCAGTAGTCATGCTGCCTATACCCAGGAAACAGATGGGTGGCTAGATCAATGACCTTGAAATCGCAGAGAGAGGAGCGCCATCTAGGGATGCCCAGCTAGATCTTTCCAAGCCATTCCTTCTTTAGAGGCAGTTTTGGGTTCAAGATGTGATGGTGGTGATAATGGTGGTGATGGTGATGATGATGATGATGGTGGTGGTGGTGGTTGTCATGATGATGATGATGATGATGATGATGGTGGTGGTGGTCATGATGATGATGATGGTGATGATGATGATGATGATGATGATGATAGGACCTGTGATTTCACTGGTTTAGGAACTCCCAGTGAGGGGATTCCCTCTACCAGTGCAGTTCAGTGCCTGCTTTGAAACTTAGAGTCTCCAAACTGGGCTTCTTAGATTTCTGTCCCAGACCTCTTCTGGTGAAGTGAATCCGATGACTCCTCAGAATAATATTTTTAAATGCATAAAATAAAATACATAGGATAACAACAGAAACCAATTATTTTGGTATATAGTTATCAGAATGTTTTTAAAAACAAGTTTGCACACTCCAGGTTAGGAATTCTTATCTTCCAGAGTTGTCTGGGGCCACTGAGAGGTCAAGTATCTTGTCCAAGGGCACACAGCCAATGTTGGGTAGAGATAGAACTAGGACTCCAAAACCAGCTCCCTGTCCCTCTCAAGAACATTACTATCTCGGGGCAGCTAGGTGGCACAGTGGATAGAGCATCAGCCCTGGGTTCAGGAAGACCTGAGTTCAAATCTGGCCTCAGACACTTGACACTTACTAGCTGTGTGATCCTGGACAAGTCACTTCACCCCATTGCCTCACCAAAAAAAAAAAAAGAACATTACTGTCCCTTTTATAATTATCATTCCTGACCATGTGACCTTCCTCCAGGGAATGAGCCCAGGGGGCGGAGTCTGTTGGGAAAGAACACCCAGGCTTGGCTTCACCCGCACCCCCCCATGCATGCACACACCTTCCAGTCAGATGTTCTACAAGTCTCTTTCCCAAGTGTCCTTCAAAAGGAATGTGGAGAATAGTTACCTTCTCTTCTTCCTTTTACAACCCTTACTAACGTGGGGCAAGGAGCATGATGTATCAGGGAGGACCACTGGTTTAGGAATCCGAAGGCCTGGGTTCATATCCCAGCCCTTCTTTTTAGTAGCTGTGTGGCCTTTGGGCAAGCCACTGTCCTCTCTGGGCCTCAGCTTCCTACCTTGTGATGCAAGAGGGCTAGACTAGATCATCTCTTGAAGAACTCTTCCAGCTCTAGGTCTTAGGATTTGCTTTAACCATATGTCAGAGCACTTTACGCCCGCCTCAGAGAGGGATTGAAACTCTCCCTCCCCTAGTCCGTCCTATTCTCTCCATTGCCATAATGACCAAAGGCTCAGTCGCTGTACTGCTACCTTGGTAGAAAGCCAAGAGGAAGGCTTCAGGCTTGTGGTCCACATTGAGATGTTCTAAAGGCCTTAGTTGCCCAAAGCCTGCTTTCCTTTTCTTAGGCTAGCAGCCCAATTTTATTTAGACCCCGGGGTCCAGGAGTCTGTGTGTTTTAGGTGGTCTCACTGGTATTCATTCAGCTTTTGATTCCTCATTGTTTGGGGAATGGAAGCATGGAGAGTGTTTTGTAATTCTGTATTGGGTGAGCTAGTTAGGCCATGTGAGTGGCAGAAAACGAGATAGAGAGAGAGAGAGAGGGAGGGAGGGAGGGAGGGATAGTGTATAGGGAACAAGAGAATGAAGAAATGAAGCATGTATTAAGTGCTTACTGTGTACCTGGCTAACAGATACAAAAATGAGATGGTCTGTGATCTTAAGTAACTTGCATTCCAAGGGCGGGGGAGAGAATAGATAAATTGAATGAATGAATGTAAAAGCATATATATATATATATCTGTATATTTTTTTTTTGGTTAGGTAATGGGGGTTAAGTGACTTGCCCAGGGTCACACATCTAGTAAGTGTCAAACATCTGAGGCTGGAGCGTAAAAGCATATATTAAGTACTTATTGTATACCAGGGACAATACTAAGGCTAGCTAGGGATACAGATACAAAAATAAGACAGTCTCTGACCTCGAGAAACTTACACTCTGATGAGAGAGGGGGGAGAAAGAGAATGAATGAAAAAGCATGTTTTAAGTGCTTACTGTGTACCAGGCACAGTATTAAGGCTGGCTAAGGGTATAAATACAAAATGAGATACTCTCTGACTTCAAGATACTTACTAATGAGAGAGGGATGAGAAAGAGAATGAATGAGTTTGCTTACTATGTTCCAGGCCTAGTGCTGAGGCTGGCTAGGGATACAGATACAAAAGGTAAAGTAATCCCTGCTTTCAAGGAGATTGGAGTCTAATTGTGCTGGATTAGAGTGGAAGACGAGAATAAATGGATGAATGAATGAATGAGCATTTATTGAGTGCTTACTGTATACCTGATACAGTGCTGACTGGCTGGGCACCGCAATCTGGCCTCAAGGAGCTTACATACTAATCAGGGGACGTGCAGTAGGAGATGGAGACAGGAAAGCATTAATTCGCACCTTGGGTTTGGCTGGGAAGGGTCGTGTTGTCGGTCCTTGCTTCAGATCCCCAGGTGTGTAGCTGGCCTCCACATCCCTGCCTCCTTCTCCACCTCTCTCATTCTGATGGGGAGGAAGCTCTCAGTCAGGACCTCTGGGAGGACAAAGAGTCAGCTCTGTGCACCTGAGCGGGTCTAGGGCTGAAACTGGGAAGACTTAGGTTCTATGTTGGCTCTGCCCTAGGGGGTCTGTGGGGCTTCGGGCGAAGCAGTGATGGATTTGTTGAACTCAGTGCTGGATAAAACCTTAGAGTTCATCTCGTCTGACCCCTTCATTGTAGAGAACCTAAGAACCTTGGTCTAGACCCGGAACCCCTCATTTTACTGATGAGGAAGCAGACGCCTTGAGGTCATGTGACTTGTCAGTGGGCTTTGCTCTTCCCACTGTACCCCACTGCCTTTTGAAAGACCTGGGGCACAGTAACTTCTCTCTTGGCTCCCCAGGGGCCGTCTGGTCCTAAACCGTCAATGTCCTGATGAGGCAAACAGAAGAGAGTGACTTGCCCGAGGTTTACCTGGATAGAAGGGGGCAGAGCTGGGATTCAAACTCAGGCCTTCTGACTCCAAATCTAGCCCGCTTCCTGCTGCACTCTGTGTTTCTCCTGTCTTTTCCATTTCCAGAATGCTTGGGTTTTCAAGTTTGGGAGATGGGAGATGGGGTGGGGAAGGAGGAGCTTAGAACAAAGTTCTTCTCTTTCCTGGAGAGGACTCAGGGATGCTGCTTGGTTTGGGTGATTTCCAGGAATTTAAATAGGAGGGGCAGCATTATGGCAAAGTCTGGGGTCAGGAAGATCTGGGTTCGAGCCCTGCCACTAAAACATAAGCTGACTTTGTGGCCCTGGGCAAGTCTCTTAAACTTGGTGTTCCCAAGTGCTGACTGAGGCTAAGTGCTGACTACTGTCAGCTGGTTCTGATCTGGTCTGATTTCCTAATTTAGAATTCTTAATACCCATGCAATTATAGATCTGCGCCTGTCCCTCTTCACTGCCCCCCCCCCAAAAAGGGCCAGTGGGATAGCTTCTGCTGTGCAGTAAAGGAGGTGAGAAGGTATCAGGGGATTTCTGCAGTGATGCTTTTGAGTCAGACTTTACGGGATAGACGGTAAACATTTATTAAGCCCCTATTGAGTACTGATGACTGTGTTAAGCCTTGGATGAAATGATCAAATCCTAGATGATTCTTTTTTTAATTAATAAATGTATTTATTTTTAGTTTTCAACATTTAACTTCTACAAGATTTTGAGTTCCGAATTTTCACCCCATCTTGCCCCTCCCCCACCCCAAGATGGCATGCATTCTGAATACCCCTTCCCCTAGTCTGCCTTCCCTTCTGTCTCTCCCCCCTTCTCTTGTCCCCTTCCTAGATGATTCTTTCACCATCTGGCCTTGTCTGGCATTTCTGAACCCTGATAGACAGTAGGCATTTAT